GTCGAACCTGGTCAGTATCTAGATGAGTTACCGCTTGTGAATACCAGGTGCTGTAAGCTTGGATGTGCGGGTGGTGTAATGAATAACTCGGAAATGTTAATCGGAGAGCCGAGTTTCAGGTCCAGTTGGATTTGCTATATGTATTTACGCGCATATACCTTTTTGGAAAGGTATGAATCACCTATTACCCCAAGCTATGGGTTAATTAGTAAGATTTGTATTACTAAACCATCATCTCCAAAGAAAATCATACATGTTAAATATTTTCTGGCTTTGATATACAAAAGTTAAGCCGTAGAAAACAGATCGAAACATTTTGAAAAGCAGTTAACCTTTATCCCTCTGTAAGTTTGTCTGCAGAACAATGAAGTGCATCTTACCACTGCACCGTTTGACATTTCTTTTTCCTTCAGCGGTTCCATTTCATGAAGTGAAAAAAAAATCTTTTATTTAAATCTACAGCGGAGAAGTGCCTTCAAAAAGTGCTAACTGCTAATGTAATGTTTTATAACGCTTTAACTGTGTATCGTGACCCCAAATGGAAGTTAAAGGCTGGGGTCGCGAAGCGAAATACTGTGGTCGCCAAGATGAAATTCAAACACTTGAAATTCAGTTTATTTCTCAAACGCCCAATATTTAACGCGATGCGCCATGCAAGTGCCGCGGTAATAAAACGCGCGTGCGGCGCTGTTGCTACTGATGCAGCAATAACGGATGTAGTTGGTTAATTCTGTTCATCTTAAGTGTATAAATAACAAATACATGTTAAAAATTTTATTCAATTGAGGTCGGTATTTATTTAAAGACATAGATGCTTTACGTCCATCACTGTCAAATATTACACCAAGGTTTACTTTATACAGCAAAAAACGGGCACATCCGTCACATTGATTTTTACTTTGGTTTATTTTTGTACAAATATTTTTGATAAATAATACTACTTTTTTAATGTATATTGTTCAGCAAAAAAATGTATTTGTACGTTTTTAATACCCGGGGGAAAAAAAATCTCATGAATGAAAAATGGTTAAGAAGCGGTAGACTAAATAGTTCAAAAACTGACATTGGCACTTTTTTGACTAAATTAGCACAAGGCATCATTCTGTCCCTTCAGTACATTGTTGGTTTATAGATTAGACTAATTTTTCAGCCCTTTTTGTTAAGCTGAAACGTTAAATTGTTAAACAAAACTTTGATCTAATGAAATACTTTAACCAGAGCCGGCGTGTACATGGGAGTGGGCCCAAGACTGATTGGAGTAGTGCTTTGTGACCCTCGCTATCTTAACACTTGCTCTTATCTACATTTACATAAGTTACGAATTAAACTAAGCACAACTATTAAAGTATGAAAAATCTGCGGATTTTGATGTCATGTCGGGGTCTTTATTTTATTTTTTATCCTCCAAATTCATGATTTTGTTTTGCTCAAGTCTCGAAAAACACAAAATTCCTTTTTTTTTTTTTATCTTTTTTTACTATAATGGGAAAGGTGTTAAAATTCGACTTTAAGAAAAACTTCATGTTGATGCTAAAAATTGCCGGAGAACATTGTCGATATAAGATGGAATTATCTATTATGACATGTCGTTAATCTGTATTTACATACAGTATTTTTCCCCTTATATTGCATATGATCTGTTGTTCATAATTTGGTTACAATAAAGGTTGTATTTCATATGAATTCTACCTTTTATGAAAGTTGATGTGGTAGAGTGGAGGGGTGTATCGTAAAATGGGAATGGAACCTAGATCCAGGCACCGGGGCCCCAACTTTTACCTTTGAAAAGTAAACAAATGTTTTGGGTACGAATTCATTGTGATCTTAAATTATCGACCTCCTTTTTGCGTAGAAAATGGATGGTACGCCCAATGATGTTAAATTCTGTCGGTGTGACATACGTTTGATTTCCTCTCGTTGTGGATATGAATTAATTGTTAATGTTTTCAATTTCAGCTTCCCAACTTGCTACGCTGCAGAATTTAAACCGTTGAAGATAAGTGAAAATGGTGTTAATCTCGAGCATCTTATCTGCTGTGTTTCTGGGATAAAAATTGTTTCTGGACGAAATGGCGTAAAGAAAATCCAGTGGGACGAAGACTCTTTATCTGTTTCTGGTTATATTTTTTTTAATTTTTTTTTATTTTTTTACTATAAACCATTTTCTAGTTTGTTTTTGTTTTGTTATGTGGTTGTTGTGTAGTGTTTGTGTGTCTTTTTTTTTTTTTTTTTTTTTTTTTTTGCTTTTGGAGCGTTTCACCCCAAGCAAGGCGAGAAGCCACTAGCACGCAAGGTGTTACAGAGAGTTGGAGCAAAGCAAATAGGAGTGATAGAGGAAAGGATGAAGAGAAGGATAGGGGATAAATCGGGGCATCTGGAGACGTTAATTGACATTACATTTGAATAGTTGGAGATTATAGCTATCAGGAAGAAGGGAGGGAATTCCACAGGCGAGAGGTGCGAGGCACGAAGCTATTGAAGAGACGGCTACATTTAAGTTTCAACAGTGGAAGGGTGTGAGCGAGATGCCAGCCTAGTAGAACGCTTAAATTCAAATCTGGGAACCAGCGAAAGCAGCTCATCGAAGCAGTTACCATGAAAGTATTTGTAAAAAAGACAGTGGGAGGCGACGGCACGTCTGTGACAGCGACTGCAGACGAGATGCCAGATCAGGGCCAATTACGTTGCATATCCGTCTCTGGATCTTATCAAGAACCTTGAGACAAACATAAGGGGAACCAGACCATTTATGCCCGCAATACTCCATGCAAGGGCAAATGGTTGATTTGTTGATTTGAACGATCGACTCCGGCGAGAAAAATTTCCTGGCGCGGCACAGGGAGCCAACTTTCCTTGCGGTGGATGAAGCTATTGACTCAACGTATTTGTTCCATCTCAGGTCAGCAGTCAATGAGGCCGAGTAGTCGCAAAGAGGAGCTCTTGAGAAGTTGAGCGTCAGACATTCTAATGGGGGGGGGGATGGTTTTCTGTGATGAGTAATAGAGCAGTTTTGTTTTTGAGGCGTTAAAATTAACCAGCCAATTCCTGCCCCAGTTCACAACCGATTGACGGTCCTTTCCGAGATGAACGGCCAGGTTAGTTTTGTCAATGACACTAGATTTGTTTTTGAGACGGGAGTAAATTGTAATGTCGTCCGCGTAGATGCTTACTTGGGAATCTATGACGTCAGAAAGATCGTTGATGAAGAGAAGGAACAGAGTAGGGCCTAGGATGGAGCCTTGGGAAACACCTGCGATCGTGGGATAGAAGCTGGAGGAGAATCCGTTGAGAATGACCGTCAATACACGTTTTGACAGGAATGATTGTATTAGGTCAAACACTCGACCTGAAATTCCATAACCCTGAAGCTTGCGAAGAATCCCGGCATGCCAAACCCTATCAACCGATTTGGAGATGTCTAGAGCCATAAGACAAAGATGGATATAGAAATCAACAGAACATTGTGTGTTGTGTATATATATATATATATATATATATATATATATATATATATATATATATATATATATATATATATATATATATGATTCCATCGCTACATAAGAGTTCTTATGTTTCAAAACAAAAGCCGAAAACTTCAATATAATTATTTGAATTAAATTACCAAGCTCTTTGGATTATTTAATTAAAGTACCAAAAACTTTGGATTATTTACCTAACGAGTTCTTTCCTATTTTCTATATTTTCACACACACATATATATATATATATATATATATATATATATATATATATATATGTGTTTATAAACTGCAAGAGACGAGTTCTTTTTTCCTATCTGAACTCTATGCGAGAAGTTTTCTGCTCTCTTAGTAGTCCTCAACAATTGGCTGTTCGAATAGGCAACTTAAAACAAGCCTCAGAATGACACCATATCTTCTGCCATAAGACGCACTTTTCCTAAATATTAACCCGCGTCTTATACTCCGATAGTGGAGGTTATCGATACGAGATTAAGTATCTGCTAGTTTGACACAAATCCGCTGTTGACTACAGGATTTAAAGGATTCTCAATAATTAATTCATTATCTCGAATTTTAACATAAAACCCGACATAAATATTTATGGATTATCAGTTAAATATTTTCTAAATTTTTTTTTGCGGGTCACACACCAGATCGTCATAGTGTGTTAAATAATTTTGCTTCTGTAATAAACGGTGTCGGTACGCTTTTAATCTTAAATTAAAATACCCCCTTGAACCACCCCTTATTAAAATTCTATAACAGTAAATGTTGCATAACATGGAAAATAAATGCTTATTGATCACTTATTGTGCATTAATAGTATATTCTTGTATCTTCGCAATTGCAACACATCTTGTCCGCTTTTATACACCCTTATGAAGTCCATTTTTCTGACGTCTCGTCTGCAAAGAAGTAAGGGTAGGATTGCATTAATTCAGTTCAGTTGTTAAATGCTACTTACACGAATTTGGGTCTCTAATTCCAGATAATCCTGTGTAATGTACGTTTGGAAATAGTTCTTAATATTATCAATTCAAAAACACTCTTTAACTATTTGACACTTGTCCAACTTAATTCTTTCTCTTTTAGACAGTAGTGATGTGAATGATACTGATCATGGCCATTTAAACGCGACCTCAATATCAAGTGGCCTTACTCTCTCACAGCAGCTCTCTCAGATCGGTCGAGAAGTTGTGGACTTGCTCAAACACACCCCTCAGTGCCAAATGCCGTTCAGCAAGTTCATTCCCGCTTATCATCATCACTTTGGGCGTCAATGTAGAGTGGCGGACTACGGATATACAAAATTAATAGAACTGTTTGAGGCTATCCCACATGTGTTACAGGTGATGTTCATTTTATTTTATCTTTTCTTTTTTTTTTTTTTTTTTTTCTCTCTTTTTTTCTTCTCTCTTTTTTTTTTTTTCCTTCTCGTCTTCTCTCTCTTTTTTTCTCGTCTTCTCTTTTTTTTTTTTTCCTTCTCTCTCTTTTTTTTTTTTTTTTTTCTTCTCGTCTTCTCTCTTTTTTTTCCTTCTTCTCGTCTTCTCTCTTTTTTTCCTTCTTCTCGTCTTCTCTCTTTTTTTCCTTCTTCTCGTCTTCTCTCTTCTTTTTTTTTCTTCTCGTCTTCTCTCTTTTTTTTTTTCTTCGTCGTCTTCTCTCTTTTTTTCCTTCTGCTCGTCTTCTCTCTTTTTTTTTCCTTCTGCTCGTCTTCTCTCTTCTTTTTCCCTTCTTCTCGTCTTCTCTCTTTTTTCCCTTCTGCTCGTCTTCTCTCTTCTTTTCGTCTTCTTCTTTTTTCCTCTTCTCTCTTCTTTTTTCCTTCTTCTCGTCTTCTCTCTTTTTTCTGCCTTCTTCCTTCTTCTCGTCTTCTCTCTTTTTTTCCTTTTCCTTCTTCTTTTTTTCTTCTCTCGTCTTCTTTTTTTTCCTTCTTCTCGTCTTCTCTCTTTTTTTTTTTCCTTCTCTCGTTTTTCTTCTCTCTTTCTCTTTTTTTTCCTTCTGCTCGTCTTCTCTTTTTTTTTTCCTTCTGCTCGTCTTCTCTCTTTTTTTCTTCTCTCGTCTTCTCTTTTTTTTTCTTCTGCTCGTCTTCTCTCTTTTTTTTCCTTCTGCTCGTCTTCTCTCTTTTTTTTTTTTCTGCTCGTCTTCTCTCCTTTTTTCTTCTCTTTTTCCTTCTGCTCGTCTTCTCTCTTTTTTTCCTTCTGCTCGTCTTCTCTCTTTTTTTCCTTCTGCTCGTCTTCTCTCTTTTTTTCCTTCTGCTCGTCTTCTCTCTTTTTTTCCTTCTGCTCGTCTTCTCTCTTTTTTTCCTTCTGCTCGTCTTCTCTCTTTTTTTCCTTCTGCTCGTCTTCTCTCTTTTTTTCCTTCTGCTCGTCTTCTCTCTTTTTTTTTTCTCTCTTTTTTTTCCTTCTCTCGTTTTCTCTTTTTTTCCTTCTGCTCGTCTTCTCTCTTTTTTTCCTTCTGCTCGTCTTCTCTCTTTTTTCTTCTCTCTTTTTCTCTTTTTTCCTTCTGCTCGTCTTCTCTCTTTTTTTTCCTCGTCTTCTCTCTTCTTCTCTCGTTTTTTTTTTTCCTTCTGCTCGTCTTCTCTCTTTTTTCCTTTCTGCTTTTTTTTTTTCTTCTGCTCGTCTTCTCTCTTTTTTTTTTCTGCTCCTTCTCTCTTTTTTTCCTTCTGCTCGTCTTCTCTCTTTTTTTTTTCCTTCTGCTCGTCTTCTCTCTTTTTTTTTTTCCTTCTGCTCGTCTTCTCTCTTTTTTTTTCCTTCTGCTCGTCTTCTCTCTTCTTCTTTTTTTCCTTCTGCTCGTCTTCTCTCTTTTTTTTCTGCTCGTCTTCTCTCTTTTTTTCCTTCTGCTCGTCTTTTTTTTTTTTCTTTCGTCTTCTCTCTTTTTTTTCCTTCTGCTCGTCTTCTCTCTTTTTTTTTCCTTCTGCTCGTCTTCTCTATTTTTTTTTTTTTTTTTTTTTTTCTGCTCGTCTTCTCTTTTTTTTCCTTCTGCTCGTCTTCTCTCTTTTTTTTCTGCTCGTCTTCTCTCTTTTTTTTCCTTCTGCTCGTCTTCTTTTTTTTTCCTTCTGCTCGTCTTCTCTCTTTTTTTTTCTGCTCGTCTTCTCTCTTTTTTCCTTCTGCTCGTCTTCTCTCTTTTTCCTTCTGCTCGTCTTCTCTCTTTTTTTTTCTGCCTTCTGCTCGTCTTCTCTCTTTTTTTTTCCTTCTGCTCGTCTTCTCTATTTTTTTTTTTTTTTTTCCTTCTGTCTTCTCTTCTCTCTTTTTTTCCTTCTGCTCGTCTTCTCTCTTTTTTTCCTTCTGCTCGTTTTTTTTTTTTTTTTTTTTTTTTTTTCCTTCTGCTCGTCTTCTCTTTTTTCCTTCTGCTCGTCTTCTCTTTTTTTTTCCTTGTTGGTGGACCACTTATAGATAAGAGGTATCTCTGGGTTATAGGCGACAACTTGATCTATCCAATGCTGTTATTGCCGTTGGTACTAAATTAATTACTTGAGAGGTGCAGATAACTTAGCGAAAATAATTGTGATCTCCTCAAAGACGTGACTTAAAGCAACAAATGTAGTTCTACAGAAGGATGCTAAGGATACCATGTATCAAGATTTTAGAGGAAATGGAAACAAAAAGGAAACTTAGCATCAAGAAGAGACAGTTGAAATTGGAGTGCTTGGAAATAATCTGATACCTACAGGACAAATTAAGGAACAGGGAAAGCAGCACATATCTATCTTGACGAGATTAAGTAAATGGATGGCAGATTTTAAAAATAAATTTTAATATATTGTATAGATAAATTTAAAGAATTTTGTAATTTCAGTGTGGTGAGGCAGATATTAAAAACTTATCTGTTGAAATAAATTTATTACTGGATATTTCAATGATGTTTTTTTTTTTTCCTTTTGAGTTTTGAAATATATCATCTTCAGTTTGAAAATATTTTAAATTTAGCCCTATATCCACAATCGAATAACAGTGATACATTTTTTTTTTTTTTTTTTTTTTTTTTCAGATTCTTGGAACTGGAGAGAAGAAAATCTTGACTCTAAGTCACAAGGCTCAAGTTCGCCGTTTCACTTCAGATCTGCTTCGGGTACTAAAAGTTCAGACTAACAAAATGATTAGTTTGTCAGAATTACCTTCTGCATACTGTGAGTAATAAAAATAAATAAATTCAGTCCAAAACTTTATCAAATCTTTTAAATTAATAGGAAGAACTTAAAAAAAAAAAAAAAACTTTACGTATTAAATCACTTGAAATAAATTTAGACTATTTAAATAAAATAAAAACCTGAAGACTTGAAGTTATAATAACTGTAGGTGCTAGCCAAATTGGTGATATGCTTCCATAATCAATTGTTTTTAGGCTACATACATTAGTCATTTTTCTTAGGGATATCATGCTAGTATTCAAATACTGAAAAAACGGTTTTCTTTTCCAGTAAAAGTCATAGAAAAGCAATGGGATATAACTGACTATGGAGTATGTGACATTGAAGATATGCTTTGTGAAGTTTCATTTGGAACAATTCAGGTATTTGTTCAGACTTTCTTGATTCACTTGTGTTAAGTAATGTAAAAGCCATAAAGTTGTAATTAAGTCTGTTTGTTTTTCTAGGTCAGTGAAGACTCTGATACTGTTCTCTCAATTCCCAGAAGAGGTAAGCTAATTTTAACATTCTGAAAGACTGTCAAGATTTTAATGAGAATGCTAGGCAAGAAAGAACATTTCCAGTTTGTTTCTTCATTATGGGCATCAGTATATGTACCTGTCCACAGGAAATACACTGAAAACTATAAACAAATATCTCCCTTTCTTTTCTTTTTAAATGGGTTGGGAATAAACAAAACACATTTCAAAGAAATAGACAAACAAGGGAAATGCTCTTCAGACATAATTTGGAACCACTTCAATGGTAAAGAGATACATGGTTTACTTAGTAGTAAGGAACAGATAATTTACCATGTTGCCTTTTCAATCGACTGGCTAAAAATGTTTCCCTGTGGACCAACAGTAACTAAAATAACACCTGGTAGGTTTCCTGTCCCTCGGGGGTGTGGCTTATTGGTTTCCTATCCCTCGGGGGTGTGGCTTATTAGCAGGCTTGTAGAAATTACCATATGTGTATGATAGCCACCATGCAATAAATTATATACAAATCTGAATTCTTGTCACTGATTTCTCATACTAAAACAATACATGCATACAACAGTATGAAAATTGAGAGGGTTTACTCGTAATATTTCCTGAAAGGAGAACGGGCAGTTGGTGATGCCCTCCATGTACTTGGTGAAACTGTGGCTTCATCTGATCCCTTCCTGGCATGGGCAGGTGTATTATGCTTTTCTGCTGTCTATATAACTGCTGGTATGGGCAGACACATCTTGCCTCTACACATGTTAAATAGCAACTGGCATTCATAACTCTACGAACTGATGTTACTTACCAGCTATCACATGACTCTTGTGAATGCATCTTACACAAAGGTGTGATAATCACCTTTTAGCATTTGTTATCTATATATATATATATATATATAATTCTGGTATCATTTGATGAGTTTTATGCATCCTTTACTTTGAAAATTAGTGTGTGCGTGGTTGGTGGGGATATATTTGCTGCTATTGAGCAGTTCCAGTAACACTGCTTGTGATCCATCTGCAGAATTAAATGAGAGGATAAAGTCTCCAATGCAGAGGTCCTAGAATAATGTTTTGTACCCAGCATAGAAAACCAGATAATCAAGGCACAGCTTTGATGGGTGGTGCACGTATGTCAGATAGAAGCCTCAAGAATTCTTAAAGCAATCTTTTTCAGTGAATTGGTGCATGGCAAAAATGACATCAGCCTTGGTAGCTGGGGAAATACTGCCCAAGCCCGTGCAACCTGGAGGACTTGCAAAGAGGACATTGATGTCTTTGAGAACAAGTGTACCAGTCTTCTCATTAAGAAACATGCCAAGAGGAAGACCAACAATAGCACCCAGAAGCCACTTTATCAATGCAGCATCTGCAATAAGACTTGCAGTTCCAGGATTGGATTCTACTCTCTCAAAAGAATTCATCGGTAAAGTGTCAACAGAATACTTCTGCATTGGCTCACAATGTGAGGATCGATACTGAGCAGTAATCATGGAGCAGTTTACCTAGTTGTGTGTTTGTACTGAAAAGGTTGTGATAAGGGATCTATGCAAGGAGAACTGGATTTATGCCTTTTCAAGGCTTTCAGTGCAAAGTAAATATTAATACTATCATCTAGGACTTACATTTCCCATATTAGATGTTGTGGGTATGACAATAAACTACAAACTATGTCCGACAGTAATGCCTCTGATCAGGAGGTTTTGCAGAACGTGGAACCACCTCTTAATTGCTGGTGTTTCCAGGTTTGTCCTGACCTGGGGTGGTAGCACCTGTTAGGGTCCCAGCTATGGGCAAATAGTTGACCCCGAAACTGGGGTAAAAACACTATGAAAGTGTAAAAGCAGGTTGTAATACCAGAAATACTTTGTCTAAAAAAATAAAAAATAATAAATTTTTGAAAAAAAATAAAAATTATTACCAGCTATACATTTTTGAGGAAAAAAATATTACCAGTAACACCTTTTTGAAAAAAAATTATTACCAGCAATGGAAATTGTCGGCATTAAATAACCCATTGGGGTTGATATGCAGTAAACCAATCCCATATTAAGAACTGTTAGGCAGCTTGTGCCACTTAAATTGAATTTAACACATTTAAAGCCAAAAAATAGTTCCCATTTTGGAATTTTCACCCTCTTAATTTTGCCCTCTGCTTTTCGACACTATTTATTCTCTAGAGGAGATTTTCTATTAATAGCCTATGCATGGATACTGAATATGTTAATTTCTGGAAATAATTCTATTGCAGATATAAGGAAAAATGTCTGTTACTATGCTGAAAGTCATATAAACCATTAAGGGTGCAAGGGCACGCCCCATTGATTGCATGGTAAATAGCCTGATGGAGGCCAATTTTCTTCAGACTGGTTTTAAATTAGGTTCTCTTCTTAGACTGGTTTCCAGTCCAGGCAATACCCAAGTCTACTTACATATAGATGGATTATTAGTATGTTTACATACAGCAATACAATATATTTTCTATTAGCAGTTTCCAGCTACTTTAGAGATTTGAATATCTAGGATGTTGAGTTGTGTATGTGATTTTCTCTTTTTTTTTTTTCACCCCCAAGCAAGGTGAAAGCACACCACAAGGGATTACAGAGTAAGAGTAAGGAGGGGTGTTTGAGGAAAGGATAAAGGGTGGGGATCAAGATCAAGGCATCAGATATTGATTGATATTATATTTGCTAATTATAGCTATCGATAAAGCAAGAAGGGAGTTACACTGACAGGAAGTGTGAGAAGTTGCTGGAGTAGAAGAGGTAGTTAATTTTAACCGTTTCAACAATGAAAGGGTGGGACCAATATGTCAACCTAGTAGTACTGCTTAAATTCATGCGGTTGGGGTACCAATATTGTTGGTATTAAAACATATTTTTATACTTTCATAGTGTTTTGACCCCCTTTTGGGGGAGGGGGTAACTATTTGCCCATAGCTGGAACCCAGACAAGTGCTACCACCCTAGGTGAGGGTGGACCTGGGAACACCAGCAATTAAGAGGTGGTTCCATGCTCCTCAATACCTCCTGATCAAAGACCTTGCTGTTGGATGTAGTTTATCGTCTTACCCAGGACACCGGATGTAGCTTCTCATACCCAGGATGGTACAAGATTTCAGTTAAATCCTCATTTCACAAACATGTCTTAGTGGTGTCTTAGTAGCCATTCACATCAATAATATTCCTTCTTGTAAAAGTCGTCCTGGGTAAGACTATAAACTACGTCCAACAGCAAGGCCTCTGATCAGGAAATTTTGAGTGTGGAACCATCTATTAATTGCTGGTGTTCCAGATCAACCCTGACCCGGGGTAGTATCACTCTGTTAGGGTCTCGGCTATGGGCAAATAGTTAACACCCAAACTTGTCTAAAAATAGGTTTTAATACCAGAAATAACTTGTAATTAAAAAAAAATATCAGCAATATTTATTTAAAAAAAAAAAAAAGCAGCAATACAAACAGTTATACTTTCTTTGAAAAAAAAAATATTACCAGCTAAAGATTTCTTGAAGGAAAAATATTCCCAGAAATAGATTTTGAAGAAAAACATTCCCAGCAATAAAAGTTTTGTCGGCATTAAATAACCCATTGAGGTTGATCTGCTGTAAAACAAACCAAGCCTTCAAATCTAGGACTGCAGTCAGGCACTGAGTTTTCAGGATGAAACTGTATCTGTTGAGGTATTGTTTACCTTTTATGCCAAGATTATGAACCCCACTTTTCTTGTCTTGTTCATCACTATCAGGTCACTGAAATTAATTTGTCATGGTTACCAAATTTTTAGATTTAGGTGAGCTGGCCAATAAAAAAAAAAACTGACAAGCTGTCTGGCTCTAGCTCAAATGCCTCTCTAGCTTTGTACTGGGTTAAGAATTTTTTCTAACTAAATGCACTAAGTAGAAAAGGAATGATTTATTATAGACTGAAATAATAGTTTAGTATTAAGATTGACTAAAAGTTCAAGCAATCAGAGAGGTCATATGTTTAACAGCTTCAGTATAGAAAAAAGATTTAACCTCAAGGATAATTACTGCCAAGCCTTATTGAATGTATTTAAAGGCTTCACATAGGATCATGGGGAAAATGGATTTTTTAATGTTTTTGATTGGTCAGTAAACCAATCTTCTACTTAGTTATAAGAGATTGGATTTAAAAAAAATTCCTGTATTTTACAAACTCTTGCTATAGATTTTTGGCAAATAACTTTCTTTTATATATTCTATAGAACAAACTTCATCAGAAATTGCCAGAACCAAGCAATTCTCAAGAGAAGTGGTGGATCTGCTAAAACATAACCCTCTCTGTGAAATGGCATTTAACAAATTCATTCCATCCTATCATCACCATTTTGGCAGACAATGCAAAGTAGCAGATTATGGCTTTCTTAAACTAATTGAACTG